GTGCGATTGACTAAGCCATGGCCCCCGTCGGCAGTGGTGAATAGCTGGGACGTGCCGGACATGGTGGTCTGGGGGTTTTCTGCTTTCACAAAGCCGGTTTGCTGTTGCTGTTGCTGTTGAAATGCTGTGCCCGCACCCACGGCGTATTGCAACTGCTTGTTCGACTGGATCTGTTGCTGTTGATGTAAACGATGCTGCTGCTGTGTCGCCGCTTGATGATACATTCCCACGTTCGCAAGACCCCCGGCCGCGTGTCCGTAGAGACTTCCACTGGCCGTACTGTTCCATGATGCAGTTCCCCCGCCGCCTGTATTGGTGTTGGTGAGACCTGCAAGCGACGACGACGACGTACCCGCACTCCCCACCCCCTTATTCTGCAAAGAATTGGAGAAGTTTGACGAGATTAGGGACGAAATGCCTGACAAGTCGGTCGCCTGTGTAGATCCCGCAGTGGATGCCGCCTGTTGATTCCCCGTATATGCGCCCTGCAAGTCCAGAGGCGTTTCGGACCATTTTTCCATGGATGCGAAACTGGGTGATCGCTGCGTGTGTGTATGCTGGCTGCCTAACTGCGCAACATCGGCGGTCGAGCTAGATCGCTGGTGGAGAAGCAAGTCGTATGAACCTGCGGATCGGTTGACTCCAGCAGCGTACAAGTCAGGGGCTGAGAACCGTCTATTGGCGACTTGGGACTGCTGTTGCTGGTGTTGGGCGAGGCGGAGGAGCTGTGCAGCGGAAGCGGGAGACGAGGATGCGATGTTTGAAGCCTGCTGAGAGTACGTTGAATGGTATCCCCAGGTTTGCGTCTGCTCGTTAAAGATGGGCGGAATACTATGGCGCCGGTGATCTTGGGACTGGAGAATGTTGGGGGGTGTCGATTGATATCCAAACCGGTCAACGGCAGTTGTTGCAGAGGCCATAGCCATGGAGGGAACTTGCGCCTGGGCACTGCCGTGACCGTATGGGGTAAAGTTGGCTGTTCCGTTCGTCATCGCTGCTACTGCTGCCGCCGCAGCTGCCAATCTCTCCTTGTCCGCTGTTGCTGCGAGATAACGACCACCACCACTTGCATCTCTTCCCGTGCTTACCGCACCACGAATCCCGTACTCTTCCCCCACTTGATCAGAGAGCAGAAGCTGGTCAGCGGTGTTGTGCAGATGGGCGCCTGTACCTTGCCAGCCGCTGTTGTCATACATCCCATAAGCAGATGATTGCTCTTGTGATGGAATTACGAGGCCGGTATGCGTGAAAGCCGACGATGACGACCCGGTTTCCGTTCTTTGCCCTAGCTGGTGCACAGCGTGGTGGTATGGGTGTTGCAATTGTCCACCATGGCGCGCGTATGCCTCTTCATGACCGAAGGGTGTAATACTGAGCTCACCAAGACCATTACCGGCAGCACCCGCGGTCGCACCTTGGCCGTCGCCATACGGATCAGGACTGCCTTCCGCATCTTCATCTTCATCCGAGAGGGGACCAATTCGATTACGAAGAGAGCGAGTGCCGCCTTCAACGCTGTTCACACCAGCATCCCAGGCGTCTTCATCGCCGTAGGCAGCTGGTTGTTGGGTCCTCCCGCGCCGCGATTTCCGAGAGCGAGTCCCACCCGCCCTTGCTTTTCCGCGACGCGTGGTCCGAGACGCCCATGGAGTCGCAGCGGTGCGAGAGGAACCAGCGACGACACCCCCATCGCCCATACCACCGAAACTTCCAGTTTCCAACAATTCACCATCTCCTGCACCTGCTTGACCTGACCCCAGACCTCCGTCTGCCCCGCCTCTCATATTTGCATAAACTGCCATCCCCTCTGCCATACCCGTCACAGTCCCTTCCTTGAGGAGCTCGCCCCATACTTGCTCAATCAGGGTCGACGTCACCGATTCACCGTCGTAATTGACGCGTTCAAGGACGCTTCCCCAAAGGGCGCGAGTGTCGGTGCGACTTTTGGACAAACGTTTTATAGAGCGGCACAGACGTTCTCTCGTTGGTTGTTGTTCAAAGTCTTCGAGGTGCTGCACAATTGCAATTCAGTATGCGAGTGTTGGGGGGAAGCATGTTTGTAGAAGAAAACAGGTGAGAACGCATTCATGTTTCCAAGTTTAGTGCGCATGAGAAACAAACGAAAACCATTTTCTCCCACCCTTGTCAATACATTGGGTTGTTCCGAACAAAACCCTCGGGTGAGTAAACCATATTTACCTTAAGGACGCTGGCGCAATCTAGGAAACGGTATACTTGGGCGCGCGAGATCTTCCCTGTAAACAGAGCGCAGAAAAAGGTGAGTCACGATTTTCGTTGGGGCAAGGAGCTCGAGGATTGAGAAGCAAGGAGTATCTGGATGAAACGCTTGTTGTGTATATGATCTGTTGAGGAGACAGTCCGGTAGAGGAGAATGGGGGATCGTGAGATACTTACAATAATCCTTAAAGTATGCTTCAAGAGAGCTTGTCCGCTCCTTGTATAGCTTATTGCTGACGATGTTGTTCACTGCCATGACTGTACGTTTGAACTTGCGGTGTTTCTTTGCTGCCGCAGAAAGCGAATCACTGGAGGCCTGTGACCCCGTCGACGCACTGGACACATTCCGATCGCGGCCTGCACGTGTAGCTCTGGACTGCTGGGGTTGGTTGAAGATGCGCAGGTCGATGCATGCTTCAGCTTGCTCCAGCATTTCTTGCCGCTGCGACCGAGAGAATGCGGATGACACGGCAGAAGTGGTTGATGCACTTCGACGGCGGCAGCGTCGGTCTGATGCTGATGATGGGACCACGGCTTGTTCATTGGGGTGACTGAGGAGGGGAGACGGTCTTTGTGGTGGTTGGTGTGGTGGTTGGTGTATTTGGGACCCGAAGAGGAATGTGGGGTGGGTGGAGGAAGATGACTGTGTGTCTGCCATTGTAAAATCGTTCTCGGCGGCCATTGCGGCGGTGGGGAGGGTCAGGGTGTAGTCGTCAACGGAGGGCTCACGGGTCTCTGGCTGATTTCGGGTGGATCTTCTCATCCTCCTTACTGATGAGGGTGAGTTGCGCGGGTATCGAGGAGTTGGAGTCGGCGGCGCAGTGGAAGAAGAAAGTAGAGGAAAAAAAAGTCGAATATCAGAAAAAATGTAACAATGGATTTCAATAGATGCCACAACACCCCCCAACCCCAGTTTCCCTTTGGACGATGACGTGTATGAAGGGGAACTCAAAAGAGAGAACGCTCTGCATCGGTGAAGGACTCGCAACCACCAAACGGCGACGAGCCATCCATAGCCGCGACCGACGTCCTCCAACAACATTAATTGCAGTGTTGGCGGCGGAAATGAGGGGGGGACTAGCACACCGGCCCGTGGGGTACGTTCATTCGCATCCCTCTTTGTCTCTCTCTCTCACCTGGGGTTGTTGGGGGCTGTTCGTCGTTATTTTTTCACCCAGCTTCTCCCGGCCTTCGTCGCCCGCAATATTTTCTGTCTTTTTCTCCCGTTTGCTTCTCCAGGTTTGGGTGGAGTGGAGTGGGACGGTGAGGATAAAACGCGATGGATGCGCGCGTGGGGGCTAATGCGAGGGTGTATTTGTTTCCTTTCTCGTTAAGTCGGGCGTGTGTGAAAGAGAACGATGTGGCTATTCTTTGGAGGAAGGATTCAGGACAAGATGAAAATCGAACAGAAGTGCGAGAGGAAAGGAAGGGCGGGGGAACAAAGGGCTGTCTCCAGATGTTTAAGTGTTGACTTTTTATCCATCTTTTGATAGAACGGTTTGAGAATATTGGGAAAACAAGGGTGCTTGAGAGGATGAGCGCATGGTTCCCACAGAAACACTTGATGTAAGGACGAGGACTTTTTCCCCAGGGTTTCAGAATATGATGCAGGAAACGTTACTCCTCCGCTGCTAAGCTACCCCAAGCTTTCTTTGGTACCAAGATGATCGCATCGTTGCATCATTAAGCAGGCAAATGTTTTCTATGAGTTCTTCTGGAAATCGGAGAAGGGTGTGGGGGGAAAGTGTTTACATTTGCATCGAAAAAGGACAGCGCAGGGTACTTGTAGAAAGCTTCTTCTTCACCTCCGCCTGAGTGACCTTTACTTGATTGAAGTACATACACCCGTGATCCCCAAAGCTTTCCTCAGCCTTGCTGCCATCTACTCATGTCGCTGAATCGGGAAGAGGGGTATTTTTTGGCTTCTTGGATTATGTCACTTTTTGCTTGATTTTGCCTCCCGTTTCGAAAAAGGGAGCTTCGGGTCAGTTTGGCGTTTATCCGGCTTCAAGTTTGGAAGAAGCACCACTTGTTTCTTTCGCCACTTGGGAAACACACGAAACCTCAGTTCCTCCACACAACATTTTGTCCCTTCCCATTATCCTTTCACCGATCCTCCCAGGGGTCGCATGTGAAGAAAGTTTAAGTTGGGCAATCCCTTCTGTCTCCCACGCCACGTCTCTTCTCCCGGTCGTCGATCGTGTAGTTTTTCGTCATTGTTCTCGGCGCTTTATGTAGCCGACTGCTGCAATTCGGCTGCATTTGCCGACTCCACGAACTGCGTTGACCGTAATCGTTGTGGTTGGCCGTATCGAGTTCAATTAGCTGCATCGGTGAACGCAACGGACGTTGAGTACAGTGGACATTCCCACATTTAGCTTTTCTCTTCCCTTTTTCTTGGAATGCAGTGCGAAAGAGCGCCAATAAACACATCTGATCACCTTCTGGCTTGAAATAATATTTAAATAACTCAACACTTAGCATATTTGAGCAAACTGTCCACGTGGGAACTTAAGTGGTAAGAAGCCTGATCGATAAAAGATACCCAGATGTATCTCTCTATGACTCTCTCTAGCCTCATGCATGTCTGTATCTGACACAAACTTGGTTTATCTTCACTTTTAAAGATAAACTATGTTTTCCACTGTGTTGACGTATCCGGAAAAAGCTTCCCATGTCTGATGGGCCTGTTGTAAGGCTTGTTTTATTGATTTGGAGTATAAAAATAATTGTCATATTGCGCTATAAGCCAATTTCATTCACCGGCCTTAGCTCAGTTGGTAGTAGCGGCAGACTGTAGTGGCATATGCCTGGGACATCTGTAGGTCCCTGGTTCGACTCCGGGAGGCCGGAGTAAAATTTTCCCATTCACGCTTGTGGGCCTTGGTTCCACTTCTTGCACTTCCTTTCTGGGCGTTTCATATCGTTCCATTCCCACTCACACTTTTGGGCCTTGGTTCCACTTTTTGCACTTCCTTTCTGAGCGTTTCATATTGTTCCATTCCTTACGAGTCTCCCAGACCGTCTTTCTGGGTCTGTCTGTGGTTAGGTGATGGTCTCTGGTGAGTTCCCATCTCTGTGACCATGTGTGACACCACTGAGTGGAGTTTGAAAACGTTCCTCAAAAATACGAAGTGGGCGACTGACGACGGACGTTGGGCAGAAAACATCTTCCCGCAGCCAACCTCCAACCTCAACACTTCCATATCGCTTACCACAGATAATTGGCCGATGAATGTCGCACTCCGGTTGTTGACTTGGGGTGAAACGGAGGCCGCAAGCGGGGTTTTGAACCTCAACCAGGCTTCAACTGTGGACTACATATCCTCCGTGCTCTCGCTCTCGTCTCGGTTGCTCGTGCGAAGGGGCAGCTGGATCGGTAAATAATGTCAGAAACCGCCCATGTTAGGCCAATCTCTCCACTCCCAGGAGCCGCCAAAATGAGGACAACCCTTACGGCCAACTCAAAGGAAAATGTCCCGCAACGCAACTGCAGTCACAACTACGTCAGCGTATCCCCACGAAAGTCGTTCATTCTTTCATCTAAAGCTGATTCTCACTCGTCACCGCCTAAGCTCCCTCAGAACCTGAACCGCAGCAGCAGACAGTCGACCTCATTCGATAGGAAGACAACGGGGGGTCGCGGCGAAGGCTGCATCAAAGGTACTTTCACGAGTCGTCCACATCGATCGTTGGGATCGCACCAGAAGGAACCCGCCAATAAATCCACTACCACAAAAACTCCTGTTCACTCCGGCCACGAAAAGGGCCAAGCCTCGGCCTCGTTTTGTCGCCATCATCACGTTCCGTCCACGTCCATATGGCACCCAGCTCACTACCCCTTGGCTCGTCACTTGACTCTGGTTGCGCTTCAGCAACAGCTGCAGTTTTACCATAAACATAGAAGGAAAGAACAAGAACCTGACGATGTTTTTCCTCAACGCGGTAGCAATACTATTCGAGGGGGAGAGGGTCGTGTTTCATCCACCCTGCTTACCAAATCAAACGATAAAAGAATCTTGACCGAGTTGCTCCCTCTCTTGATTTATCAGTTCGGCTGCTCTCGGCTGGTCAGTGGTCATCAAAAGTCGCCTTCCGTGGAAGGAAGCCACAGCAAGAGCGCCGAATGCCGTTCCGACAACGGTAACAACACAAAATCACACCCGTCCTCTGCTCTCACTTCTCGCGTTGATGCTGCGAGAGCCGTCTTAGCCGCTCTCAATTACTCGCTCTGCTTGGATTCCGTGCTGGAAGAGAAATATGGCAAGAAAAAATCCGAGAGAAACCATCCTCAGCAACCTGGTTTGAGTAAGACTATCGGTGGTAGCGGCGGTGGGAACTCAAATCCTCCGAAATCGTTCGCGAATGCGGATTTGGCAAATTGTCGGGAAATCAGATTGCTATGTCTCGTCGCGCTGGTTTGCTTGTGCAAGAAAATGGACAGGTGAGGCCGGCGACAACAGAAGAGGTGGGATTTCCCCTTTTTTTGGTGAGAAGAACTCTCCAGAAGGAAAAATGAAACAGATTAGATGTCTTTCTGCTCTCAAGATTTACTCCAATCCCAGATATTAACAAATTTATGCCATCAAACAATAGCGATAAAATGATCGAGCTGTTCCACCCACCATCTCCCGCTTCACATGACGACTCTCCCTACACCACCACATCTTCCTCCTCTTCATCACCTACCGACTCCCCTCTTCCCACCGCATCCTATCACCCACCTACCAGCAGCACCATCATCGACGCCGTCATCCAGTCTATCATATCCCTAATCGACATTACCAACGTTCCTGAATGGCATATACCCATAGACATAAATTTACCCGATTTTCTTCTGCCCAAAGACATCAGCAACAACGCTCAGAGCATCAAAAAGGAAACAGATCTCGATATTTCGGCACCGAGCATGTTGACGATGATCGCTTGGTTGACGCGATTGTGCTGCAAAGAGCTCGTTGGATGTCTGGCGAATATGGCGGCTGGCGAGAAAGGTGGCAGATGTGAGGGTTCGGGGATGCAGTCGGTCGGTGTTGGTATCGCGGAAGAGTTTTTCAGAGGGCTTATGAAGGGGCTGGGCAGCATCACAAAGAGGGCAAGAGGGCGGCCGGAGCAACTTAAGGTTAGAGATGATTCTATTCGTCCCTTCTAATCATTTGAGTGTGATTTCCCCGCTTTTTTGGTCTTGGAATGGATTGGTTGTGCTATGTTCCCAGAGTTGGATGAGAGTGCGTCGATTCAATTTCTGAGCATTTGAAAGAAGTGCAGTCTTTTTTCTTCCAATTCTGCCTAATGTTTTCACCCTGCTCCCCCATTGCCTTCCCACGAAAATTCGAGCAGATAGTAATATCCATATACGGAGACTGTTCTCGCTTCGTCCCCACGACTCTGCTCGAACATCCATATTCCTACTTGGCTACTTCATCCACGACCATGCATTTTCCCGAAACCCCGCAAAGAAACCTTCGTTTACTCGCTCACCCGCTTATCCTTCTCAAACACATCATCAGCCCCATCGCTCGCCTGGTCATTTGGAACCACGACAAAGTAAGCATTCTGAATACGGCTGTGGAGGTGTTGGGACAGGTACGGGGTTATCTCCAAAAGTGCGTATTTGACGGCGAAAACGGAAAAGAGAATCGGCGGAATCAGAACTTTCGGGGAAGAGGGGGAGAGAAAGGAAGGGGGATGGATCTGTCGGAGGCGAGACAGGGTGTGGAGTGTATCGCAGGGTTTGTAGATGTCTTAGTGGAGATGGCACAGGCGCAGATCAGGAAAGATGCGGGTATTAAAGGTGTCAAGGATCTTCATAATGTGACAGCGCGGGCGTCCGTGGTATGCGAAAATCCACTCTTTCGAGGACTTTCTTCGGGGTTCGACACCATATCAGCGAACGATGAAGGGATGCGAAATGTGGGGCATATGTTCGATGGTAAGGGAGTATCCTCGGTGGAAGGAGGTTGCGAAGAGCAAGGGCAAGCAACCTCGCGTCCATTAATGTTCACAGCAGAATGCGGATTGCTCCTCATTCGGTGGGCTCTTTCAATACCAAATTTTAATTCAACTCGCCCCCTTTTGGCACCTACAACAACAATCCGACATACATGGGTTTCGACGCCGCTTTCTGGGCAGTACAACCATTATGACTACTCGGTACCCTCAACCACAACAACATCAGGGGCGGATGCCGGAGTTGGAACTCCTCGACCGATGCTGGTGCCATTGGTGCGGTGCTTCATGATCCCGCTTTTGACACAGTTGTGCGCGCGGGTGGAGAATTGGAGTGTTTGTGGGGATGTTGTGATGCGTGTTTTCAACGGAAGGCTGGGTATTGTAGAGACCGACAGGTTCAAGGCGGGTGTGGATGGGGTCGGGGGTCAGGGAATGGACCCTGTTATTTATTGCATTATGAAGTGGCTCATCGCAACAGCATGCACCAGGAGCCCTCTGTATCCCAAAGGAACAGGTCCTGCATCGCGCCAAGGTGATGTGATCGATCCCGCTGCAAAGCTTCGAAAGGAGTTTAAGGGCATTGCTGGTGGTAACGCAGATACAGCGAAGATGCAAAAAGACAATGCTGTTGCGGTGGTTGGGAAACTGCCGACACCCGAGGCTATGCGAAATGTGAGAATGTTTTGTGTGAAGATGTTGGGGGTTTTGCCGAATCGGAGTCATCAGGTAAGGTCAAGAACACTCAGCCTTATTGAGGATGGGAATTTGTATTTCTGCATTGATGGAAGCAAGGTCCAATGGGCTCAGTTCCGGTGAACGAGACTGGCGAAAACGTCATCCAAAAGCCCCAAAAATCTTTGTTTCCCGTCTTCATGAACATGTCTGACCTAACTATGAATAATAGGTGATCCTATGCCTACTCTCCCTCTTCGACGACCCCTCCTACGTCTTCCGCCTGGCCGTCGCCCGCGCCGCAGCGATTCGAACGCTCAATTACGACGAAACATCTGCTGGTTGTACCTCCATTGATGTCTTATCCGCCCATCGAGGTCTTAACAATCCGAATCATTTCAAGCCTGAATTTGAATCTGAGTCAGTGAAGCCTGTTACATTAGTTTTCCGTCCGACCGATTTGGCCGCACCCCAAACTGTGGATTCAAAAGAGGCCTTTTGTGGTGGCGGTCACAGTGATGCAGGATGGACCGGTGGTCGGCGGTGGTGGATTTTTCACAGCGAGGATGGGGAGTGTTCGATTAAGTGTGCTGATGATGAGAGCTGTTTTGTTGGGCGGATGGGGGAGGGGTTGGGGAAGTTCGGTGATGTGGATGCGGTGAAGAGCGTGTTGCAGGGTAGGGAGGGGAGTGTTAAGGCGCCGTTTCGGTTTGTGTTGCAGTGCTTGGATGAGGGAGGGCCGATGGGGTAAGTGGTGAAAAGAATGCATTCCCTTCATATGTTGAGATGTAGGTACGAATGCTGACGCTGACTACGATATTCCTTTTTATCTTTCTCGCTTGCTCTCGTCACCCGCCATGGCAAAAACAACAACAACGAATGAATTTTATGCCTGCAGCTGGCAGCGATCGTGGAGGGAACGGGAAGCGTTCGGGTTCTGTGTCTTTTACATAGTCCGACACATTTTCAGTGGATGTCCCTTGCTTTCCTCAACAACCACCGACCCTAGTTTCGGACCCAAACCCGCCAATGCTGAATCCACAGGCGGTGTTGTGAGAGGGAACGTAAGCACCATCACAGGGAACGCACGGTACAAAGTCGTAGGACGATTCGCGGCGGACTTGTTGGTGCGTTTGACGGGGGCCCAGAGGCGGGCTCTATCGGACACGTCCACTACTTCCTCGCAAGCAACTCACAAGGGCCATGGGGAGGGCTTCCAGATGGGAGGG